GATATTGGCGCCCGTCTCTGGGACCTGGTACGCCAACGTGGCGAATCCCAGGTGCAGACAACGTTCATTAATGGTCATCATATGTCGAATGAGACGTTAACTGTGGCTTCCTCATCGACAGACTTACGTCTGATTTTGGGAAACGTCACCAAGCTCTGGGAGGATTCGAGCCTTACAGGACGTATTGCGAATCTCCGGGCGTTTCGAGTACCAAATTTTGAGAATCAATTGATCTTGCCCATCATGGGCGCAGGCCGGGAGTTGGGGCGCGTGGCAAGGACTAATCATTTCTGGAAGGGAGCGCTTGAGCAAGCAATACGCCTATGCCATCGTGGACGTGCAGAATCGAAGCACTCAGCTTCATTCGCATGTGGAAGAGGTGCATAACAACCTATCGGTGCGCGAATCTGACATTGCGGTCGATGGCAGCCTTATTGCAGAACGAGAATGCGCGCTCGCCGGACGCGAACAGCAGTTGGAGACAGATAATTCCCAAATACAGGAACGAGAGGCACGCGTTAGTGCTAGAGAGGCGCAGCGAGCCGCGTGGGAGGCGGAGACGGTGGGCCGGGAAGAATTCTCCACCTCTCGGAGAGGTTTGACAGATGGACCTGTCGCGCGCCAAAATACGGCCGAAGATGGCGATAACAAACAACTACTTCGAAAGCATCGCTTGACGGCTGTGGGCGCGTCGTCACGCACGGCCTGGCGAAGCCCGGCGCGCGAGAGGCGGCAGGTTATTTCTCCAGATGTCCAGGGCAGTTTTGGATGACCACATTTCCGTTCCTCGATGCCTTTGCCCTCCAGCACTTCTCTTTGGACGATCATTCCGCTGCAGAAGAAGAGGGATGAATGTTCCGCGCCTTCGACGTCACCACTTGGGCCCCGCTTATATGGGATGAGGGCGTTTCCGGAGTCGTTTTAGGCCTCCGGGGCGCATACAATTATTGGCAGCAGGCGGACGACCAGGCTCAACTTGTCGTTGACAGTTTGTTTGCGTGGATGTGCGCGCTGGAAGCGGAGCGGGATCCCACCGATCGCTTCATGAATTTTGGCAGGATCTTACTGCAGGCATTCCGGGTGCGGCTCATGACGGCATCCGATCCCGGCATCCCGCTCTTCAACATTCTCGCCCGTCTTTGCACCGCCGTTCACGAGGCTGACACCTTTGCGAGGGCAACCCAGCCTCTCGCGGAACGACGAGGTACGCAAATATCGTTGCGATGCCAAATGTGTCATATTTATGGACACGACGTGCCTACGTGCAACGTCCGAGACAAAACTGGAGGAAGTTACTCGCAGCACGGATGGCCATTAAAAACGGCAGAGGGGCTGCTTGCTGCTTCTTATGAAAGCGGACGACGGCAGCCCCATTTATTCCACCACCTTCCACCATTACGCACAGGCATCGCATCGCACCGCCGATGCTCCACCCGATCTTTCAAATTGCCCGACGCAATCGTCGAGAAGGGAAATGGGGCTTATCCGCCAACGACGCTCGACTGTGGCACGACGGAACACCGACATCCCCGCCTTGGGTCAGTTGTATGAGGAGAGCGAACGAGGTGGCTCGAGAACTGTGTGCGCCGCCAACGTGGGAGCCGAAAACGTCCCTAGCGGGGCAATTCACAACCTTTTGCCGCACGCACGAACGGCCGATGAACGCGGAGAGCTGCGCGGCCTTTTTAATGGCAATAGTCGGCGTGGCGTCATCGACCCGACTGCAGCACGCCATGATGCTGCGGTCCATGTTGCAAATGAATCGAACCCCGCTGGACATGGTGATTCTGGGGTTACAAAAGATTGCGGCGCGATCGGAGACGAAGCAGGCGCGCTCCTTGACAAAGGAAGGGATGAATCAAGTTATCCGCAGTCGGACCGATTGGAGGGAACGTGTTGTCGTACGACTTGCGTGGATAACGGCGAGCTGTTGGTCCGAGATTGCGGTCTTAACCCCCAACAATTCCACACTGGAGGCGGATGGGACCATAATTTTGGATTGGCCCGTGGCGCCGAGGACGGCGAAAGCGGATCCCCACCGCGCCTCGCGGTTTGTGAGGATGTGAGGGCAGGATGCGTTCGACATAAAGTCATGCGGGACACTTCAAGAAAACGAAAAGCTCACGAATATTACGACTGCCAAAGTCGAACGAGCTCTGGCTCCTTGGGATGCCACGGCGCATTCCATAAAACGCGGTGCGTTGAGACACGCTGCTCAAATCGTGGAGGCACACGATTTTGACCCACACGTGATCTCGCAGTTGGCGAAGCACGTCGACCCGTTCGACCTTCCCCAGAATACTGTTCGATATTTGGGGAGATACACCACAGTGCTGACCCAGTTGTTGCCGCTGGTCGCATTGATGTGAAGGGGGACACTGCGGAAGGGCAGGAGCCCTGACTGAGAGCGGAGGAGCATTTTTTTTTTTACGATTTTAATCACAATTATTCTGCTACAATAACGAGACGCACGCCAAGGACGCGTCTGGCCACTCCACAAGATGAACACGCTATCCCGTTACAGCAAGTCAACGTGCCCGTATTGAACCTAGAGTGGATCAAAAGTTGGTTGAACCCGGCCACCTTGGAGAGTCTTATGCAAGTATGGGGACTCGTCGGGCGGTCCCCTTTCCCTCCGTCTTCCTCCGGTAAAGCGCGTGAAGGCTCACGGAGGGTTCCAACCGCTGACGCGTGATTGTTACGAAAAGCTGGAATTATCGAGGACGTTTCGTCTGCAACAACAGGCGGATGGATAATGCCTTTCTCAGTTGTGGAGGAGAAAACCACCGGTTGAAGACGACGATGGATCGCGTGGCCACGCGACAAGAAGTGAGACGACCCTTACGAGGCTCATGCTCCTCTTTTACACATTTCCCATTATTTGCCACCTGTGATGGCGGAGGCCGTTTCCTGCGTGGAATTAAGGGCATTTTTTTTTCATAGTCTCTTTACCGCGGGAGACTCGGCATCTCTTTCGATGCCGCGTGGAGGACGGCACGCTGGTGGAGCTCACACGGCTCCCAATGGGACACAAGGCCGGCCCAGAAATTCTCCAGATTATTATTACTTCAGTAATTGCGGGGTGACGACGGTGGTTCACCGCCTCTGGGCCGCACCTCCATTGGTGTGTATCGACGTTTGGATCGATAATATGCGCATTGCAGGGTCGAAAAGCGATGTGACACTGTGGGAAGCCCAAGCGCTTCGGAATGCGGCCAGTTGTCACGCAACCATGGGGGAGGATCGCGAATCGGGCGCCACGCAGTACACCTTTCTGGGGGTGCAGTTTGATCACTCACTCCAGGCGGTGTCCCTGAGTGAGAAGTTTTTCGGGTCTGTACGCGCCATGCCGTCGCTGAAGTATTTAACCATCGCGGAAATGGAGGTTATGGCGTCACGCTTTTTGTACGCGTCTGCCATTTTTGGCACGCGTTTATTTGACTACTACTTTTTCAGCAATGCAGTGCGACGACGATTATCGGCAGTTAACCGGGGGATTGTGCGGGAGACATCCCCGGCGAACCTTCCACCAGCAGCGGTTGGTTTGGGCGAGGGATTGCGACACATCATCGAGAATATAATCGTTAGCGAATCATCGAGCCCACGGAAAAGGCAGTGGGCTGCCATCATCACAAATGCATTGTTTTGTGGATGGGGAGCCGTTATCATTCCAGACTCCGGCGACGTTAAAACTGCCGGAGGAAAATGGAAGAGGAAGCGTTTTCTTATCATGCACGCGGAGGCATGCGCGGTACGCTTGGCCTTATCGGCCTTTTCCGCCATCTTGCCATCCACCATGGACATTTGGGTGGACAACACCTCGCTGCGAGGAGCGGCGAATAAAGGCAGATCAAAATCACACGCCATGACGTGGGAGCTGCAACGGATATACGAGTTTGTTGACTCTCGCGGAATACAGGTATCCTTTGCCTACGTACGGTCTGCGGAGGACCCCGCAGACGGCATATCACGCGGTCGTGTGTTTACACTTCAGGACTTGGCGAAAGGGAAGCGGCGGTGTCTTTTGGCTGGAGGACCCCAAAGTCTGCCACTTCGTAAGTAATAAATAAATAAATATTCCATCGGAATGGAGTGAGCGGGCCACAATTGAGGCTAACGTATGATATAATATATATATGCACTTACTTGCTGCTAAACTTTGGGAATGTGGTGAATCCACTCTTATTCCATTTATTCATTTCTTATTCCTATCTGGTTTGGTTTCTATTATCGATAAACTCATGATCCGGCCGGCTGCCTGGAAGATTATTCTAATTTATTTATCGATCTATCTATCTATGTGTGCTTATATATTTCCTCTGAAAGGATTCTTTTCTGTAGAAATGCCCTTGCGAGCAATTGCCAATTTTTTTTTCCATTGATTACTGCTTTACATTTTTTTATTATTGTTTTTCGTGTCTAACTCTGCCGCCGGGTTTTATCACAGGAAAAGAAAAGGGCTCAAACGGATGGAGACCCCTATGGTGGTGCTGCCTTTTGTTGTTTGCGCCCAATAGGCCAATAAAGAAAGAAGATTTGGCCATTACGACAGGGTGCTGATTGAGGTACTGTTTCTTGCGGTTGTTTTTTGCGGTGGTGATGGGGGAGGTGATTGGGGAAACACTGGGCACAAAATGTGACTTGAAATCCTGAACTGCGTTTTCAGAATGTCTGGGTGGCTGTCGCCCTGAGCTATAACAATTTCCTGTAATTAAGAATAGCTACCTTTTATTTTTGTGCCTGCGACGTCTTTATGCTGAACTGAAGTCTCTTTTCTTATTCGCGGGTGTCGATAGGACAGTTTAAAATATGTTTGTTGTTTTCGGGCATGTAGGATGTCTGGTGACTGTGCTTTTTTTGGGAGTTTACATGAGAGGAGTGGGGATTGAGCAGTGCGGGGTGTGTGGTGAGTGCCGCGGGCTTGTTGGTCCGCGATTTGGGTGCCCTCCAAAATTCATGGCATTTTGGACTCAACGAACACTTTTATTCTTTATGGAATCATGTGGTATTACAGATGGCACCCTGGACTGTTGTGTTCCGCCATCCTTTTTTTTTTTACTGGATGTATGAGAGCTTTGCATGATGCGGCGAGAACTGCGTTTGTTACTGTGCCATTGGCCTCTTTTTTTCTTTTAGCCGTTTTTACTTTTGTTGCCTATTTCATTACTGGTCATGTTGGGACTCCTGCGTGCTCCGTGCCTCCACTTCACTCACCAAATGGAGGTGCATGGCCATTGCGCTGGAAGGAGTCTTTTTTTTTTTCACATCCACGGAGAACCATCATTGAGCACATTTTTCTTTTGTACTTCTTTTGCTTTCTTTCAGGAGATGCTCCCTTGGCTTTGCCTCCAACGGGATATGCGCAGAGTTACACGCGCTTTAGAAACCGAAGCCACGAGCCTTTTTGGAAAGGGTGCTTTATCTCTTTTCCAACATTAAATTTGTTGTCCATGTTGATGTTTTTGGTGGCGGGAGGGTGGAGCCCCTACTTGGCGACGATCCCACGTATGGTTTGGTGGTGGTCCGACCAGGGCGGACTATATCCACTGCGTCGGGGAAAGGCTTCTGGTGGATCGAACGACACGGCGGCTGGGGGAAATAATAACGGGACGGTCGCTATCCCGTTGATGGTGGTCCCGCTGATGCTCGATCTGATGGAATTTCGGAGGATGATGTGCAACATCAGTGTGCCCATCCGGCTGTTGGTTTTGGTGCAGAACGGGCGGGAGGCGATGCTGTCGTTGTGCCTGCAGGAACTCGAGAGGGTCTATGGGTGGTCCGGACGCCTGGTTGTGAGTCGTCACCCGGAAAACATCGGGTACAGCGCTGCGGTGAACATCGGGTTACGACTTGCACTCTCGCTGCCGCGCGAGGAAGTGCCTTTTGTTTTTGTGGCAAACAGCGACGTAATGTTTTCACCCGATCTTCTTCCCAACCCTCTACGCGATGTGCATGAAATGACGAGGCATGATGCCGCTCGCATGGATGAGTTGGCGGCGGAAGTGGCGAATGAGCCGAGCGAGTACAGTCCCGTTTTGCGACGGGGCTTGAGGGTGCTGCGCTCCACGGTGAATGATGACCGATTGTCGACGTCTGCGCTGCTGCCTGACCGCGTTCGTTATGCTTCTGTGAAGAAGCGTGAAAAGGCATTTTCGAAACATTACGGGCACTTC